AGCCACCGTTGAAAAGATTACTAGCTTATAAAAGAGATATCCTTAAAATTGTACCAAACCGTGGAGAGCTGCTGGACGCTCTGGGTCTGGGGCTGGTGAGCCTCATGGCTTACATTCCCCTCCCTTGACAGTGCGAATGGGAGCAGGGTTCAGGTGTCCTGACCGGCCTGCCGCATCCCTGAGCCGGGCCCCTGAGCCCACAGCAGCCCCAGCTGCCCCAGGGAGGTATCCCCAGCACTGTGCACACTGGGGCACCCCCGCTCAGTGCTCACTGCAGCTCCCGCTGTCTCACCAAGGCGACACAGGTGCAGAGCACCCTGGAACACTGCAGACCCTCCCCGCCTCAGCTTCCGATGCCTTGCTTGGTTGCTCCAGGCCCTGCCAGCCAGCCCCCCAGGGCGCCCCTGCACTGAGCACCTGGGACATCCTGGCTTGCTCCCACTCTGCCATCTCCTGTCTTGTCAGGATGCCCCCTCCACGGACAACCCAGAGACCCCCGTGGCCCGTGCCCACTTCAGCAGTAGCAGTCCCATCAGGGCACTCTGTGCACAGCCTGGAGCACCTTGGTGGCCCCCCGCCTGAGTTGTCCCTCTGGGGTGCCCCCCACATGAGAGCCCAGAGACTGCATCGGCCTGTGTTTGCTTCTCCTCGTGTACTGTCCTGTCAGGGCGCCCACACTGGGGAGGCCCTGGGACCCCTCTCTGTGCAGCTGCTTTAGCGCCACTGTCCTGCCAGAGTACCGTTTGCATGGGGAGCCTCGGGGCTGTCCCCACCCACTCCCACTGTGGCTCTGGCCATCCCACAGGGCGGCCTGGCACGGAGAGCCCTCCGACTCCCAGCCTCCACCAGCCACAGCTCTGTCCAGCTCACCCAGTCGCTGGCAGACACCATACCCTTCCTCAGGTTTAGGACTCACGAAAACACACACAGAAGGCCAAGCAGGATGGGTCGACAGAGGCCTTTGCTCCAGGAGAACCAGACACAACGGCAGCAGAACTGCCCGACACAGAGGCAGGCAGTGCCTGAGGAAGAGCCCAACGGTCATGCAGATGCTCGCTCGGCTGGAGGGAAGGCTGGGTGGACTCAGACCCTCAGCGGATGCAGGAGACACAGAGCCGGTCAGGGCCAAAGAATACAGTAACGCCAGAGGGGTCCACAGCAGACGAGGGGACGCAGAAGGACGGGGCAGGGATCAGGGAGATGGGCGAGTGGAAAGCACCCACCTGAGCAGCAGGAAGAGAAAATGACTTCTGAAATGGGGAGTAGCGTGAGGGAGGTCTTGGACACGTCCAGCGAACAAGCAGTCCTGTTAGAGGAAGGGGAAGACGTCCAGAAGGGGGCACAAGACCTCTTTGAGCGCTGATAAGGTGGCGTGCCCTGGAACCGGGGTGAGCGCTTAGACGTGTTCTGAAGGGCCACTCCTCAGCCCCATCCGTGGGACAGACACCTGCTTCCATGCAGCGTGAGGTCCTGGCTGGGAGCAGTCGGGCGGGGCTGGGGGCTGCAGCTTCCCGCCCGAGCAAAACCCGGGGTAGGGGAGAAGACGCGCGTCACCGCGGAGGCCTTAAGTGTGCTCAGAAGACAGCGGGCGGCTCGGGAGCGGGGGAGTCGGTGAGACGAGCTGCGGCTGCAGGCGGACGGGCTTCCTGGCCAGAGCGTGCGGCCCGGCCTCGTGGTGGGGGCCGCAGGGAGCTTCCTGCAGAAGCAGGGCGACACCCCATGTCCCTGCCCTGCGGGAGCTTGTCTGTGAAGAGACACTCGCCACACCCGCCCAGCAGGACTGGGGGTCATCCTGAGAGAGAGCCCGCCGGGGGCTTACCTCAGAACAGCCGGGGGTGGTAAGGGGAGCACGACTGGGCGGAGAGGGAGGGCGTGAGCTCTGTGGTGAATGAAGCACACCTCGCCCCATCTTCACCGTCTTCCGGTGTCGGGGACACGGAGTGTGTGCGCGCCGCTCTGCAGCTCTCCCCACGCCCTCCCCACGGACACTCGGTCCCCGTGCTCGGACCCCAGGCCTCCTCCCAGTTCCAGCTCCGTCCGCCCTGCTCTCTGACTCCACCACGTCCCGCAGACGCTCGGAAGCATGTGGACTTTGTCCTTCCGTGACTGCTTGTTGCGCTCGGAGGATGTCCTCTGAGTTCCCCACGTTCCAGCGTGTGCCAGGATTCCCTCCTGTTTCGAGCTGGAGGACGCCCCGTTGTGCGCAGGGGCCACCTTCCGTTGTGCTCGTCCCCCCGTGTGCACAGACACGAGAGGCTCTCAACTGCCAGCTGCTGGGAGCGCCAGTGTGCAGACGCCCGTGGACAGTCTGCTTCCACTTCTAGGCACCTACCCAGGAGGGGGCTCGGGTCAGCTGGGGCTTCTGTGCTTGGTTTCTGCAGGGGTGCTGCAAACACGCGTTTTGGAAGAGGCTGCCCTTCTCCATCCCACCAGCACAGGGGCTCCTGTGTCCTCGCCAACACTTATTTTCCAGGCTCTGTGTGGTGGCCGTCCTGCGAGTTGGGAGCTGGCCGCTCACTGTGTCCCTCGTGACTGGTGACGGTGGGCATCGTTGACCTCCAGTGTGTCATCTTTGGAGGAACGTCTGTTCAATCTACTCATTTTTATTCCAGCTGTTTGGTTTTGTCGTTGAAGTTTCCTGACTTTTAAATCCGAGTTGGTGCTGTTGATCGTGCTGGTAAAACCAGAGGTGACAAATGAGGGCGTTTCCTCTGAACTGTGGTGGCTCAATGGCTTGTGTGCACGTGAAATGGGACAGTAGTTTTTTTTCTTCCTCCCTCCCTCCCTCCCTCCCATCTTTTCTTCCCTTTTTCTTTTCTTTCTTTTTTTTTTTTTTTTATCATATAATGTATTATTGGCCCCAGGGGTACAGGTCTGTGAATTGTCAGTCTCACACACTTCACAGCACTCACCGTAGCACACACCCTCCCCAGTGTCCATCACCAGCCACCCTCTCCCCCCCACCCCGCAACTCTCAGTTTGTTTTGTGAGATTAAGAGTCTCTTATGGTTTGTCTCCCTCTCGATCCCATCTTGTTTCATCCCCCCCCATAACCCTCCGCCCTGCCTCTCAAATTCCTCATATCAGAGAGATTATATGATAAATGTCTTTCTCTGACTTACTTCGCTTAGCATGGAATGATGGTTTTAAATGTTGAATTTTAATCTTGGAAGCATTTCTTTTTCTTACCTGCTTATATATGTGTATGTTTTTTACCTGGCTGTATAAAAACCACTGAAGATATACTTTGTGAAAATGGCAACTTATTTTCCTTAGAGTGGTAGTTTTCTCTTGATTATCCGTGTGGACCCAAGTGGGGCGCCATGCCTGGTGTGGCCCCGGCACCTGAGTCCTTCACTACCCACATGGCCATGTTCTGTGTGTGCTGGCATGGGGAGCCCCAGGGGCCATCGCCACACGGTGATATACCTGCCAGAAGGACAGCTCCTACAGCCAGTCCTGCTGCGTGTCTGCGGGATAGAATGGGATCTCCTGTCGGGGGAGGGTCTGTCCTGTAGGCTGTGTCGTCTGTGTGGCGTGGTCCGTAGAGAACGGCAGATGTTTGCCCTTCCTTGGTGTGCTCATGGCTCTAGTTTGGAAAAGCTGACTTGTGTTCAGGATCTGGATCAAGGACACCCGACTCACCTAAGGTTGAGTGTGACACCATGGGACCAGCCAGTATCCAGGAGTTCCTTTGGTGGAACCTGCCACCGAATGGGAAACTTCGCTTGTTTTTGTCAATGCACTTGCACTTGTCCTGGTGATTTACAGCTGTTGCCAGTGCAGTGTGAGTGTCTTCTGACCGTGATAAGTGGATTCCCTTGGTGCAGGCAGCTGTGTTCGTGAGATGTAAACGCTGGCTAGTGGAGCTGTCACCGCCTTCTTATCCAGTGTGCTGGAAAACAGCAGCGTTAGCCCTCGGCCCGAGTGTTGGGCCCGGACCTCCACCAGCCAGCTCATCACCTCTCTGCGAGCCTCTAACTGGCCCACTGCTGCTGTGTTGAAAATAAAAATTGTGTGCACCTTTACCTTTGATGGGGTGGAATGCTGTGTACAGTTATTATTTTTTTTGACTATAAGGTACCTTTTAAAGAAAATGTATTTAAGTTGTTGAGTTACTGCCTTATTGTTTCCTTATTTTAGCCAAAAAAAAGGGGGGGGGAGAAAAAGAAATTGGGAAAGCTTTTTTTTTTTTTTAAGATTTTATTTATTTATTTGACAGAGAGAGATCACAAGTAGGCAGAGAGGCAGGCAGAGAGAGAGTGGGGGGGGAGCAGGCTCCCTGCTGAGCAGGGATGCTGAGGCAGATGTGGGGCTCGATCGAGGAGGGGCTCTCAGGACCCTGAGACGACGACCTGAGCCGAAGGCAGCGGCTTAATCCACTGAGCCACCCAGGTGCCCTGGGAAAGCTTTTAATTAGATGTATTTAAATAGGAAAATCAACCTTTTCTGTCACCTGGCTTCAGTTAAGCACCTTAACAGTTCACATTGTTTGGTGGGTGCTTCCTAAGCCAGCGTCCCGTGCAGTGGTGATTAGGGGTGAGTGTGGGAGCCTGGGGGGATGAAGGAGATGTTGGCTCAGGAATCGGTACGCCATGAGTCTCTACTGGGCACCCTGTTCTCCCACTGACCTACCTCCCGAGTGTTTGTAGTATTGTCTGTGACGTCTGTGTCACAGTGAAGGCTGTCAAGTGTGAGCCTCCCTTGGTGGCGCGTACCCAACACCCTGGCATGGTCTGACCGTGTCCTGCCCTTCCTGCTCTGACATCCTCAGAAGAACCTGGTAAACCTCCGATTTCTCGCTGCAAACAACAGATGACACATTAACCTTGTAACCTCAGACTTGGGATGTGCTGCTTTGAAAGTCACTGGTTGCTTTCAGAATTTCATGATTTTTGTTTTGGTCTCCTGAGTTGCAAGCCAATATCTTATTTTATAAAAGAAAAGCCAAATGAAGATCTCCGTGTGAAAGTCTTTAATAAAATGTGTCTTTATTTCAGTATCTTAAATAGTGACGATGAAGAAATATTCAGTAACGAAGAACAGGAATACACGTCCAAAAAGAGGAAAAAGGATCATTTTAGAAATGATACAAATGCTCAATGTAAGATCATTTTTATTAACAGTTTCATGGTATTTTACTTGTTCAATATGTTGACATACTAAACTGTTTTGACAGCGTGCTGTCTGAAGAAGTAAGGGACGACACGTGAATAGCGGCTCTGTCTGCAGTATCGCCCACCGACTTGGTTGTCAGACGCTTTGCAGCTTCACCATTTAGTTAGCAAGATTTGCTAAAACAAAAAAGATAGCAAAACCCCCAAAGCAGCTCATGCATGTGTAATGACTGAAAAATGGTCGTGAGCTCCGTGACCAGTTCGCTCCCAAGCAAAAAGCCCAGGTGGCAGGGGTCTCGACTCTGGACTCCGGGCAGAGCTGGCCTGGGAGCCGAGGGAAGCATGCGGGCCCGGCCGGGCAGGGAGCCTCCTGGCTCAGCTGCGGGACAGGCCGCACTCCCCACTGTGGCCCGAGCAGGAGCCGCTGGCCTCTGTCTTAGGGTATTTAGGCTGCGGGAAAAGACGGGGTCCTGTGGGGAACAGAGTCGCCACAGTCCTTGAGGTCTGGGACTGAGTTACATGAAAAAGACAACAGTAGAAGAAGAAGAATTGTTAGGGTACACAGAATTAATGACTAATCACCTTTTTTTTTTTTTTTTTACAAATCATGTTTTTATAGTCCTCTATGCTTTGCTATTAACTGCAGTTTCTCAGAGAGCTAGTTTTCTTCTAAGTTGCTAAGATGTGGCACTATCTGAAGTCATTTTTCATGTCAAGATGTTTCAGTAGCTCTTAAACTGGTGTTGGGAAACAGCAGTTCTGTTGACATTCAACCAAGTGATAGCATCTCTTATCTGTAGAAATCAGATTAATTTTGTTACCATGTACAACTGTTGAAGTTCCATAAAAATCTTCATTTTAAATGATTTGCCAGATTTTAAAAACAAAGTTAATTTTTATTCTAGGTTTTTATCGTGAGAAATGGATCTATGTCCATAAAGAAAGCACGAGAGAAGTAAGTATTCCATTATAAATAAGAGCGTATTTGGTGTTTTCTGTTGAATACGTAATGTCCTATTAAATAAATTCTCTCTTTTGCAGTATGAGATCTCTGGCTCACATTCTAGCAGATGAAAACCTAGGATCTTTGAAGCGGTGGTTCGTGTGTGCATGTGTGTGCACGCACGTGTGTGTACCTGTGTGCACGCGCACGTGCGGTGTGTGGTTAGTGCCCCCGCCACAGATCTGCGTCAACCGGAGGGCTGTTTCAGAGCAAGGATGGACCCTTAGACGGTGTGACATTTTCTCACTACCTCTCCCCCAGAAGCTGCTGGTGTGGGCTCAGGTGCTGCTGGCATGTGTGTCCTTGCTCTCGTGTGTTATGGGCAGTGAGAACAGGGGTGGCCCCCATCTAGAACCGGTGTGACACTGGGGTGAAGGCCGAACCTGTCCAGACCAGTGGGAGCCCGTCCTGCTCCTGTCTTTTGCCACGCTGGCTGCAGCCTTTCACTTTGACTCTGCCTCCTTCTCTCCTCAGTACCCACGGACGCCTCCTCCCTTTCGCAGCCTGAGAAGCTCTTCCTTTGCCTTACTTGGTAGCAGCGGGGGAGCACAGTTGAGGAAGTAGTTGTTTAGTGTAGGGGTAGGATGTCCAGAAGTGTTAATGATGGTTGTTCTGATGTGGCCCCACTTCCCAGAAGCTTAGGGGCCAGCTTCTGAGCCGGAAGACTGATACTGCTGGTTGGTGGTGAGGACTGCTGTGGGTTTGAGCTCGCTCTCGGCTTACACACACGCTCATGAGACCCGTCAGAGGAGCGCTTGGCGGAATCTGAGTGGCTGCCGCTCATGCCTGTGTCATACTTGATCTGCTCTGTGTTACCACACCCGACTACAGAGCAGAGCCCCAGTCAGGACAGCGTGAGCAGCAAAGGGAAATTTCTTGTGAGTCTGCAGAGGTGTTGCGTGGGCCTGGGGCAGGGACACAGCCAGGTTTCTTACCCTTGGCTGCATCTCTGGGCTGAGTACCTGATACGGACCAGGTACTGTTGCCGCTTGTCTGCGTGGCCCACTGGGGCTGCCCCACAGCCTCTGAGCTTCCACGTGTGGCACCAGGCCCCCCAAACGCAGGCGGGCTCGTGTGGCCCAAACAAGTGTTTCACAGTCTGTTAATTAGATTTAATTCCCTCCAAAAAGAGACCGCTGTGGCATGGGTGGCCGCCTGAAAAGGAGTCTGTGTCTATACGAGCATTTATAGTTCCATTCATTGAGGAGTAGAAATGTCAGCAGTGATGGACTTCAGATTATAATCTATAATTCACCTTTGTTTCCTGCGCAGCTCCCAGGAAAATAGTCTGCACATAGTAGATACTCATTAATAACGTGTATTGTTTTAAAAACATGTGTTTTGTTGGTTTTTGCACACATTAGGATCATTCTTGGGATTTGGGCACAAAACCCAATCAGCTTTCACAGGGCGTCTTTGGTCTGAGACTCAGGCGTGCACTCCAGCTGCTTCGCTAGCACCTATCCCACCCTCCGTTAGAGAGGCAAGGGGTCATCTGTCACCTCGTGTTTCTAGGACTGTCATGAGTTCATCTAATCCCACAACCATGACTTGCAAATCTCTATATACTCTCAGGATTTCAAATGCAGAGGCTCGAGTTTGGAATGACTCCTGACACCCAGTGTACAGCTCTGTGCAAACCAGTGTAGACCATAGGGCCCGTCGTGAAGGACACACAGCTGAAAAAGATGGCAGGGTTTTCAGTACCGATGACACGTTCTCTGTGTCCATCTGTTCCCTTGGCTTTTGGGTCCTGTGGGTCTGGTTACCAGCTCCTGGTATCACTGCCAGGTGTTTTCTGCTCCCCACCTGGACCCTGCACGTAGTCACCCCCCAGCCCTGGGCCTCAGGCCTTGGCCCGGTGTGCAGGGTGCCTTCCAGACCCATGGGGAGCCCTCTAGACCCGTGGGGCAAGGGGTTCCCTGCAGAGGCCATGGGCGTTTCTGCGTGTGTGTCTGTAGCAAACCCATCTTCACAGTGGCCGGGCAGATGGCCTGTGCATCTGTAGGAGCTTAGCCTAGAACACACCCCATTGTGATTGAAGTTCCCCAGCTTGTCTGACAAGAGAAATCGACAGGATCGCTACCAAGTGTTTGTCTTTGTCCTTGTGTCCGTAGTGGTGTAAGAATGGCGGAGCGGAGCGTCTTAGTTACACGTGACATATTCAGCGTTGCTGTTTCTGCTCCGGCTAAGTGTGGAATGAATCATAAGAACAAACGCCCTTTCCCAGAATTGAACAAAATTTGCGCAGACAGATCACATTAACGGTCACTCCATTTTGACGAAGTGAGTAATCACGGATCTCAACTGCTGTCTGTGTTTGCAGAGACACGGCTACTGTACTCTGGGCGAGGCTTTCAACCGCTTAGACTTCTCGAGTGCGATTCAGGACATTCGGAGATTCACTTACGTGGTCAAAGTAAGTCTTCAGTCAGAGCCGCTCCAGGACACTTGAGGGGCTGGGGTTCGCAGGTGACACGTGCACATATTTGAGACGCTTCTGGTGTTGGTGCAAAGTTGTGCCTGTTTGAGAGCAGAGCACGAGGAGCCAGCTCAGGAGGAAACAAATGTGGGCGTCCCCCCCAGCGGCGCCCCTCGTGCCACGCGCTTTCTCCCGGGGCCGCCTCACGTTGCCCGTTTCACCCAGCCGCACCTCAGGTGCATTGCCGTGGGAGACCGGGGGCGAGCGCCGGTCTTCCCGAGACTCCCGCCCGATCACGCACCCATTCTACTCCGTGTCGCTCACAGGCGTGCGCGGCCTCAGGGACCGCGGCGAGCTGACAGGAGAGAAGACCGCCTCTCTGAGGAAGCCTGGATGCACTGCCATCTGTTTGTACACAACATTTCTGTCTCGGCTCAGAAAGAACGTATATCCTGTGCAATGTGTATTATAGGCGAAGTGTAAACGATGGTTCCTGATGCTGCTATTTTCGGGTTTAATAGGACTGTGAGACATTAGAAATAGTTTCCTTGTAATGGTTTCCAGGAAATTAAAAGTGTTAGTGATGGGACAGAAATATTGGGGGTTAAATCACGTTACACCTGAGGTAATAGCATCTGTTTGGTTTGGCCCCGGTCGGAGTTTGCCAGGGCGTCGTCGGTGCCCCTCTGCTGCCGCGTGCTATCCGGAGTCCCGCGCACCAGGCCCCGCGGGCTGTATCCGGGTGCATGCCCTGGCCAGCGGGCCACCTCGCCTCTTCTCTGGTGAGGCCCCGCGGCTGCGCTCAGATGGGTCAGAGTGTGGCGAGTGTGGTGGCCGGGAGCTGTGCGTGAGCGTGGAGGTCTCTGTTCGGTGAGGATTTCTCCGCGCACCACCCGTGAGCACAGGCCATCCTGAGCTGTCCCTGGCTGCTCCTGAGTGCCTCCCCGTCCAGGGGAGGGCGTCCTCGCTGGGGCGGAGCTGGGAGCTCCACAAGGGTGCAGGCGCTGAGCTCTGACGAGGTGGGTCCCTGGGCCAGAGTCCGTCCTTCCAGCCGCCCGAACCTGCCCACGGTTTGTTGTTCCTTCCACGTGCCTCACTCCTCCCGCGGAAGAGCCTTTCCTCACAAGCCTCTCCTCTTTTTGAAAATGAAAATACCTGCGTTAGCCTCTTGCCACCAGTAACGGCTGTGAAACTACGTTTCCTCTGCTGGTTGTTTTCTGATACATAAACAACATGCAAGTGTAGAGTTAGAGTGTGCCGTGTGCATTGCCCCCCGAACGGGCCCTGGGCCCTCCTGGAGCACTGCGGTCTCTGCGCCGTCCCCCGGAGATGGGGTGCAAGGAGCCCGGGGCCTGCGGAGGCGCCGAGGCCACGTGCGTGAGGCTTGACCCGCTCAGTCGCTGCCCAGCGGGAATCCTCGCCTCTCACCCCCCAGCCCTGCCCCTTCGCACCCCCTTCAGAGGCAGCAGGGCTGCCTTCCAAAGGCCACTTGCTGTGTCTGCCTTCTGCGAAAAGCGAAGACGGAAGGCAGCTGTCCGCCACGCTCTGAGTCCGCACGCTGCCGCAGACACACCTGCGCTGTCCCGTCCCCGGCCCGCGCTCTGGCACCTTCTCCGCCCACGCCGGCTCTCCGGCTCTCCCCCAGGGGCGTTCTGTGCTCTCACCTCCGGGTTTGCTTGGGACCCCCGGGACACCCCACTCAGCTCACTGCCACTTCCTCCACGGAGAGGCGGGCCCTGGGCGTGCTTGGCGCTGCGCGTGCCTTGTTGCACTGTGGGGTGCGTGCTCCGGAGCCCGCTGGGGGCGGATGCGGGTTGTCGTGATGCTTAACGGGTCTACGGCAGCTCGTCTCGTGTCCGCAGCTGAGGCGCTCGTCCTGCGGGTGACACGGACTCGTCTGTGCCTGTTGATGTTGGGACACAGAGAAACGAGATGGGAGGCGGTGTGTGTCCGACATCCTCAGTCATTTCCTTATGTTTCTCAAGGCGTTCGGTGATGGTTTCCTTGAGGATTTGTGTGGAAGAAATTAACAATATGTACTTGTCACTATGAAAATATGATATGAGATGTTCTTGTTCCCCCGATGTTAGCAGTTTAAATGGACACTAATCAATGATTACAACATGTTTTCTGAATAAAAATTAGTATTATTTTAGCATCCAAGTACAAATTATCTCGGTTGCCCAAGTAAAGGTAAGCATTTTGGAGTGAGGTGTGGTCCTCATTCTCACCGTGTTAGGAGTGGAAATCTGAGGTCTTCTGAAAACAAATCCAGACTAAGTTGTCTCCCCCACAGTCCTGTATGCAACAGGAGAAGCCATTCTTGGGATTACCTGTTAGTGTTTATGACATTTTCATACTAGATTACTTTAGTAATTTTAATAATTTTAATAATGCGGGGCTCGATCCCAGGAACCTGGGATCATGACCTGAGCCGAAGGCAGAGGCTTAACCCACTGAGCCACCCAGGCGCCCCACCTATTTGTATTTCTGTGGGGACGCACAGAATTTTAAGTCCCGGGTAGGACCCTGCCATGTGTTCTGTGATACCGGGAACACGGCCGGGACTCCTCCAGACAAGTGCGTTCGTCCTTATGTCCTGCGTCTCCCCAGATGCCCACTGTTCGTCTTCTGGGGTGGCAGGGCCTGTTCTTCACTCTCATTCCCTGGGAGCCTGTAACCGAGCATGTCTTACGTACGGACAGTCGGTTTACCTAAGCTTTATTAAAACCCTCGTAGGAACACCTGCTTTCCTCTGTGATGGTAACTTTCCTATTCAGCTTGCTCTTCCGGTTCACGTTAGCCCGTGGTTGCCAGCGTAAGAGGCCGTGTCCCCCAGCGTGGGAAGCCGCTCCCTCGCCCACCTGTCGGAATGCGGTGGACACTTGCACGGTGTCGAGTGCAGGGTCCCGTACTGGATTCTCTCCGGTTCTGTGAAACAGGGGTGCGCCCTCCATGATTCAGCCGCAGACACACTCAGCAGTGTAGCAGACATTCGTGACCTGCTTGGGGAACAGGTGTGGCAGGGGATGGGACAGTCTGTGCGACTTTCTAGGCCCCGACTCCTCCTGGGCTCCTGTGAGAGGAGTTCGTTAATCCCTCCACCGCCCTGGGGGTGAGCCAGTCCTCACTGAGTGGCCGTGTTTGCACGTGGCTGAGAGGTGGGTCGTGGGAGACTCCTGTTGAGGCAAGGTGGTGTCTCACGGGACTGCGTGTTCCCAGGCACCAGTGTTCCACTGGGCGAGTGGGGTTTTCGAAAAGTGCAGTCTTCTGAAAGCGTATTTTAGCAGCTTCCTGGCTTGGAAGAACGTTAAATGGTGGAAACCAGATTTCCCTAAGAGATGTTGAGTAACTGACTAGGAGAATAGAGTAGGTCAGGATTGAGCCGCTCTGGCCCCACCTTCCCCCCAGGAAAGATGCAGGGTGAACGGCCAGGGGGGCCGGACCCCTGGGATGCCCCAAAAGGCCCACGTCTTGCCTACAGTTCACACATGAAAAGTTCAGAGTTTGGGGGTTTCACGTAGTCCTTTACTACTGGGTACTTTGTTCTGCCCATGCCATGTAACTGCTGCATTCGAATCAATTTTATATGTTCCTACAAAATACTTCTAAGTAATGAATCTGTGGGGTTCAATAGCAGTCCCTAAAAGTCTTATGTCCACATGAAGTGTTAAAATGAGAAGCTGGGGTGGCGGGGGGAAGGGCCTCCCCAGGAGCCTGGGTAAGGCAGGCCCTGGAGATCCCAGGTGGCTGCAGGGCTTGGTTCCCAGCTTCTGGAGTGGAGCGAATGCGTGTCCCGTGTCCCCAGCACCCCGTGCCTGCCGCATTGCCCCAGCAGCTGGGCGACGCTCTGGCAGGAGGCTGGTGGCACCGAGGGCTGTTTCACTCGTGGACACAGCACCCACGTTTTGTGCATGTCCCGTCTTCTCTGAGGGCCAGGGCACAGTTGTTCACAGATGTTTTGAAGGAGGATGGTTTCAGCTGTGGAAGCCTTGGGATGCCCTCCTGAGTGGAAGGTGCAGTCCACGTCCACGGGGATGGCAGGTTCATGGCCGTGTTCAGTGATGGAGACCTTGCTGCTCTTAGTTTTAGGAACTTTCCTTCTCAAGGGGAACAAGTGACCTTCCTAAATGTGTCCTGTGACATCTTGAAGTGGTGGCCTTTCGAGCTCAGTGAAAAGGCCTCTGAGGTTCCCAGTAGTGTGGAGTCACCCCTTTACAGGTCGCAGGTGCATGATGGCCGTGTAGGAAGCCCGCTGCCCCCAAGCACCGCAGCCAGTCCAGCAGCTCACCGGGCGCGTGTTCTTCCCAGAGTGAGCAAGCAAGGGGGCCCAGGGAGCCACCGTGGACATGTATTGTTGGATGACTCAGGCCAGTGATTTCCTACCGCTGTGAAATACACACCACAAGTTCTGCTGAAGGTACAAACCGACTTGTAGGGCACTCTGAAATAATTAATTTATTACTGGTTGTTTTACCGAGTCCACAGTTCCTTCTCTTTTCAAGAAAACTAGGTGTTTAGAAATGGAGAAAGTTATAATACATTATATGTTGATAAAAAAATTAAAAAATTTTTAAAAATGGAGAAGGTTCGTTCTGTATTTTAAAATGTACATCCTTCACAAAAAGATGTCTTCTCTGTTCCTTAGCACAAAAAATGCATTTTTCTTAAATCTTCCTTGTTGTCAGTTCAAGAATTGGCGGTAGGCTACTACACCTGCTGTTTGCTAAATCTTCTCCCCAGAAATTTGTTGGGTTACAGCATACTAGTGAGATCTGTTGATTCCCTAAGAACAAGACGCGTTAAAGATTAAGGACCAAGAAATATGTGTGGGGCCTCACGCAGATGCTTGTTTCCTTTAGCAGAGAATGTATTTACTCTCCTGGGATAGTATCAGGAGCGTGTGTACGTCTAGCATGCGACTGGACAGGTAGGGCGTTCCCAACGACGTGTCGGCGGACGTGCCATCTGTGGACATCTTTGTGGCCTGATTTCCTTCCTCGGAGGTTGACGCTTACCCGATTTTCCTGTTTACAGTTCTGTCACCTTTGGAAGATAGTTTTATGATTTGTGTCTTTTGTTTAAAATTGTATAGTAGTAAAATTGTATCCTATGTAATTCAGAGAAACTCGTATTTCTCATTCAGTATTATCAGAGACGCCAGTTTCCCGTCGAAGGAGACACTCTTCAACTAACTTGAGACTTTGACCTCAGTAAGATTAAATTAGATGCTGTAGCTCTGACGTTTTTAAGTGATACAGCATAAACTGATGGTCATGGTAGATGGGATGTCCCGGTGTGGGGCGTACTGGAAGTGTGGGCTTTGTCCTTCAGAGAGCGGGTCAGCAGAAGCCCGTCGTCCAGAAGCCTGAAACATCCCTCTTGTGGGTCTGCAGGGACCTGGCCCACCTTTAACAGGCCGCACGCCGGTGCTGTCAGCAAGACCACCCGCGTGATGAGTAGACCCACCAAGGGGTCCTGTAACCCGCGTAAAATTGTAAATTGGGTTACAGTATAATTCAAAGGAAATGGCAGTCCTTCCTTCTGCCCCTTCTAGAAGTCTGTGAATAAGACGAGAGTCCTTGGGAAAGGGGAAAAAAGGGACAAAGCAAGAAGTGGGAGTCCCGACTCACAAATCATCTACTCAAGGTGATCCCCAAATGGGAGGCTTATTTCCAGTGCATCCTGTGTCATTGTGATGCCTGTTGGCCTCTGAGCACAGGGACAGGGTCCTGGGCCCCGAAGTCTCCTGGGAACCCAGCCCAGACTGCAGGGTCCACGGTCAGGGTCACAGGCTCAGGACAGCTGGTTAGAATGCTCTGCATTACAGAGTTTCAGTTACATTCCTTTTTTGTTAAATGTGTGAGATTGAGAAGACTTTTAAAAATCACACTTACATGACTGAAGGTTGAAGCTGGCAGGTGGGGGCAATACATGGGTGATAAGATGAGGGGCCGGGAGCAGGACTGGGCCTGTCTCCAGCATGTCCAGTTTGACATGACCAGAGCTGTGGTCGCCTGCGCCCTGCAGTGTGTGCGTCTGCAGTCACTGCCGCAGAGGAAGAGGACTGCTTACGGAACCATTAGTAGGTGCTTTGTCCCCTCAGGGTCATTATGTGGTCGTCCTACTTGTAACATCTGCTGTCTCCTGTGTCCTTTCTCCCTCTGGAAACCGGCAAGGTGAGCGGGAGGGAAGGTGGAGAGTCCCACGTTCAGGGAAGCAGGAGGCAGGTGCGGTTACCCAGAGCAGCCTGGACTGGGCAGCAGCAGTCTGGGGGGATGAACGGGTGTGCCTCCCTGGGCCAGGGAGGCCTGGCTCTGGGTCCTGCTGGTACGGACAGTGGCTTTCTGGGCAGCGGCATTGGGGTGAGGTGCCTAGGGGGCCCCGCAGAGCAGGTGCAGGAGGGAGGTGGAGCAGAGGCGTGTGAGGGAGCCCGTGACCCCACCACCTGACATCCCGACATCGTGTCAGGAGTGCGGACGGGAAGGCAGACCCCAGCCGGGGCTGCAGGGAATCAGACGTGGGTCCACGTGGGCACAGGGGGGTGCTGCGGGGTGGGTGAGGGGCCCGAGAGGAGCACACACTGGGACACAGGGCAAGGGACGGCGGGGGCAGGGGTAGGCGGATGAGGAAGGACAACACGGGGTGAGTGTGAAGGGGAGACAGAAGGTCCTCCCAGCTGTCGAGGCCACGGGAGAAGGCCCGGTGGTCAGAACGTGAAGGGAACACTAAGGGAAAGGTTCGTCCAAGGAGAACCTGCCTGAGATGAAAACCTCCTGGAATCTGCCCTTGGAAACTGTGTTCCACCCTCGGAGGTGACGGAATACCACGGACGTGACAGGTGTGGGGTCTCTGGAGAGGACAAGGCGGCGTGGGGGCTTCTGCTTCCAAACTAAGGAACGCACGTCCTTTCCTCCTTCAGCTCCTGCAGCTGATTGCGAAATCCCAGTTAACGTCACTGAGCGGCGTGGCGCAGAAGAACTACTTCAACGTTTTGGACAAAATTGTCCAGAAGGGTAAGAGGTGCCTGACGTGTCTGAGAACAGGAGGAGGTGGGGCTGCCCTCTGTTCCCCAGGACGGGTGACGCCGTCTTATCGGGACAGGCTGCTCCCACGGGACGAGGGAGGGTCCCTGGGTTTCAGAGAAGTCCCTCCTGTCCAGCGGCCAGACGGTCACCTAAGCCGTGCGTCTCCACAAGCAGCGCGGCCGCGTCGTAGTCGCCAAGGCCTCAGGAGAGCCTGTGGCTTTGTGCTTCAGTCTGTCTTGGTCAATTCTTGGCCGACAGTAAGAGGGACCTGAGATGCCCCACCGTGAGTTTACGCGTGTGAGTGTATTGACACTCGCGTGTGTAAGGAGAACAGACACGGCTAATTCTAAAGCTGAAATCGCACACACCCCCAGAATCATGCTGTCCAGCAATATTTGATGTTCTTTTAAATTCGTCCTACTGGCAGGGTCTCAAAAATGACGCCAGTTTGGGGTTGCACTGACGGTAGATCGTTGTTTTCATTGTGGTAAAACACACGCACTCCGAGTTTACCATCTTAACCGTCTTCAGGCACACGGTGGGGTTGTGTGAAGCATGTTCTCCACCAGCTGCCAGAACATGCCGTGGTCCCGCACGGAGCCCGCCCCTTGGAACCCCAACCCCTCCGCTCTGACGGGAGTCATGCGGGGCCCGTCCCTCAGCGCCAGGCCTCTGGGTTCACACGTTTCCCTTCCTGCAGCGCTTCTGTGCTGCATTCGTCAGTGCCATGGGGACGGGTGGGGCGCCAGGTCTCTGTCACCTTCCCACAGTGTGTGTTGCTGTGTTCCAGTCCTTGACGACCACCAGAACCCCCGGCTCATCAAGGACCTCCTCCAGGACCTGAGCTCCACCCTCTGCATCCTCCTCCGGGGTGTCGGGAAGTCCGTGCTGGTGGGAAACATCAACATCTGGGTCTGCCGTCTGGAGACCGTCCTTCGCTGGCAGGAGCAGCTGCAGGACCTGCAGGTCACTAAGGTACGGGACACGCTGGGTCCCAAGTGCGAAGCCTCACCCCCGCGGGGGCACTGGGGAGACACTGGCTGCTTGCTGGAATCTTCGTTTCCAGGTGCATTGGGGCCAGAGGCCGTGGGGCGGCTTAGACTGCTCGTGGGAAGACAGTGGGGCTGGCCGTCGTGGAGACGGGGACGGGTGACGAGGTGTTGTGGTGATGAGCCTTCCAGGGAAGATGCGGTGTTGGGAACTAAAATAGCTGTCCAGGAGTCATGGCGCCTCATTCTGCCAGCGACCCCCCCCTCCGATGCAGGGTCCGTGCTTGCCCCTGTCCCCGCTGTCCTCTGGGGTCGTGTGTGGTTCTCAGGGGAGGAGGTGGTGCAGGTGGCCAGCGGGGGTCTGTCGTCAGCAAGGGAGCTCGAGGCTGGGAAGTGCGTCATTTAGAGAGAAGTGTGCGTTGAGGAGGGAGAGAAGCTGCAGAGGTGGGCCGGCACACACTCCGGTGGGGAGAGAGCAGAGGCCAGGTCTCTCCTCCTCGCCTTGGCCGGCTCCCGAGACCGAGAAGCCACAGGCTTCCTTTAGGGTCTTCCTGTTGTCGACACCAGCTCGGAGGCAGCACAGACGGAGGGCAGCGGTGGGGACGCCCTCCTGACTGGGGCACAATTGCACACTCAGAGCTGGCTTCCCTGTGGCCTCGTCCCCTGTGGCCCATCAGGGGGTGATGGTGTCGCCTGTGGTCAACGCTGACTCTTTGCGGCATAGATGTGGTCCCATGAGCCCTGGCAGGCAGCTGCACAGCTGCTGCAAAACCAGGGGCAGAGGGCCTTTTGGGGAAGAGAACTGTGTGGCCAGATGGGAGGGAGCCTGGATTCAGGGGGTCACTGTGTGCGGGGAGCCTAGCAGCCCCCGGGGCAGGACAGCCAGGACTGTGCGTGTCTTGGGGTCAGACCAGCTCGTGCCCATGAGGGGACTTGGTGTGTGAGTCCTGGGACCTGAGTCTGGAGTCCAGTCCATGGGGACAGACCCCTTGCAGCTGCTGTCCGCTGGCAGGTGGCAAGAACTCCTCAAGGCAGCAACGGGCAGGCGGCGGGATAGCCCTCTGCGGCCCCTCTCACTCCAGGTCGTCTGTCCTCAACTCCTGGGTACTATAGCCCTGCAAGGCCGTGGAGTGAGGACGGACGTGCTTCCACACGAGTGGGGGTCACTGGGTGGTGCACTGGCAAGACCTCCCAGAGCTGTGTTCCTTTGCACACAGTGACACGGTTATGGGGTTTGCGGTGCACAGTGGCTCAGCCGGGCAGTGGGGGGTTGAGCTGAAGGCCCTGCGCCTCGACGGACTGTCCGGCTAGCTGCTCGTGCCCCTTCCTGTTGGAGTGGTCACAGCCATCTTCGCAGAAACTGCTGGCGTGGTGGCTGTGTCTTGTAAGCAGTCACCATGGGCTGGAGACCGGTTGACGGTACTGGGTTTTGGTGCCTCATGCACCCAGAGTTTTTCCTCCTACCTCATACACCTGGACAAGCCTCAGGGTGCTTGTGAGCTTCTGTCTGACGCAGAAGCTTGTCTCCAAAGAAGGAAGCAAGAAGCAGGCATTTATAGCGAGTCTCGGTAGTTCCTGTCACGGCATGAAGACCTGGTCAGGAATGAGGCACATGAGTGCTGTCTCCGGGGGACCCCGCTGTGCGCCAGCCCGCGAGAGCCTGCGGTCACAGCTGCTCCATGAGCCCCTTGTCACCCGCTCAGCTGTGCAGCCCGTTGGGGGCACACACACACGTGCCCGTGGGCTGGTAGGATCTGAAGTGACAACATGTGACCACGCTGCATGGTGATGTCCCAGGCACCGGGCTGTTCCCCAAAGAGGCAGCCAGTTCCGAGGCCCCCACACCCAGGGGCTGCCCCTGAGACATCCTCAGAGATGAGCCCTGACTTGTCACTCCGCTGTGGGGCACAGGACTCCTCCTCCCAGGTCCCCACACACAAAGGGCCGGGAGAGCATTTCTGGAAAAAGACGGCCACACTGTGGCGGCAAGGACATGGAGAGCGGCACAGCCGGCCTCTCAGCACCTCACCGCAGCCCCGCTCTAGTGTTTCTCTGTGGGTGTGTGCTCTGTGTGGGGCTGCTGGGGCCACTGGAGAAAACAGAAGCCGGAAGGAAGCCAGCCGTCCTTGGGGCTGACCACTGGGGACAAGGACAGTCACCCAGCCACATCAGAAGCGTGTGGCTCTGGCCAGGTGTGCAGGCATCCCTGAGCCGGCAGGACCTTTGCTGTGAGTGGTCAGAGACGTTGCCCCGTCTCCGTGAGAGGTGGCGTGGGTGCGTGTACCCAGCCCAAGGCTGCAACACTCGGCTGCCCACATGTGTGCTCCTCTCCCTCCCGATACCACGACACACGGGTTCTGCACGCTGTGTCACGTCCTTTCTTGGGACATATGCGCAGGCTTGTGGGAAGGAGGGTATGGCTCCTGCGTTTGACAGCAGATCTGACAGCTGGACGGGCCTCCATGGCGATCAGCGGCTTTATTTGCTCCGTCCTCAGACCCCGCCATCTCTCCACCCCATGTCCGTGTCACGTCTGATGAGTGAGTCCTGCACTCGGACAGAGTCTGGAGGAGCCGAGGGCACAGACCAGACTCTGTTCTTTTCCCGCCTCTCCTCCGGGGTCCTCGTGAGGCCAGCCCTCTCTCGACACAGGGGCTCAGGGCTCCCATGGCCAAGTGTGAGGGACGGTGACACTTCAGCTGTGTCTCTTTGGTTGTGTTGTGTTTTGAAGCAGCTGCTGTCGGGACTGCGAGGTGTCCTTGTAGCCTGGTGCTCCCGGGTGTCACACGCAGTGAAGCCCTGTCCGTTTCCACCCCGGCAGGTGAACAACGGCCTCACACTCAGTGACCTCCCTTTGCATATGCTCAACAACATCTTGTACAGATTCTCTGACGGCTGGGACATCGTCACGCTGGGCCAGGTGACACCGACACTGTCCATGCTCAGTGAGGACAGGCGTCTGTGGAAGAAACTCTGTCAGTACCACTTTGCCGAGAAGCAGGTGAGTGTGGTGGCCTCAGGGCCCCATGGTGTGGGACGTGTCCCTTGGAGGGAGGCTGGCCTGCGCCTGTCGCCGTCCCCGGCACCTGCATGTGGCTCTCTGAACCTTCCCGCCCCGCTCGCTGTGCCCGCACACCCAGTCGTGGGGGCCGCTCAGGGCGCGTCTGCGTGTGACCTCCTGGGTGTTCGGTGCATGTACTCGTCACGCGGGGCTCCGTGAGACCCGCACACGCACGGGGGCATCTGTTCCACGCAGGGCGCAGGGCAGGGGCTCCCTGATGCGTTACTTCCCATCAGAGGCGGGTTTGGCTGCTGCCCAGGGGGCGGGTGGGAGGACGGAGTCACAGAGTCGTGGACACATGGCCCAGGGGAGACTGTCCCTCTGAGAGGCTGGGGGGTGGGGTGTCGTTGAGAAAATGGCACCTGTGGCCCTCAGTGTTGTGCACCAGGGTGCAGTGGCCGCCCCCCCACGTCTGGGGTTTTCCGGGCGGATGCCCTGGGGGCAAGTGCGGTCTTGTTTGAGGAGCTCGTTGGAGCCGGGAGGAGCTGCGACCGAGGCGGGAGGAGGGTGTCGGCTGGGAGTGGGGGCGCGGCTGAAGGACCAGGGCGTGGGGCTGGCTGGTGCAGGCGTCCCCAGCGCTGCCCTGTGAGAGGCCCTGTGAGAGGCCCTGGGGGCAACGGGCAGAGCAGTGGCCCGGAGCCAGACGGCGGTGCGGGGGGGGGCCGGGGGGGAGGCCGCCCTGTCTCCCTAGGCAGCCGTCCTCCCTCACGCCCTGCAGCGATTCCTGAGGGACAGACGCCCCGCCCCGAGCCCTGGCCCCACACCAGTTCCTGCTCTACCAAACCTTCCGTCCCTGTGGGCCGCCTGCTCGCCAACCCGGCCACATGGCGTTCCGTGGCTGGTCAGCAGACTGTTCCGTGGACGGACCCCATTTCCGCTGATTGTTCCGCAGCTGGTGGACATCTGGGTTGTTTCTTCCTTGCGGCTTTGATGAATTGTACGGCAGTGAATGCTGGCGGCCATGTTTTCGTGTGGACGTGGGCGTGCGCCTCTGAGTGGGAATCCTGGGTCACGTGGCACCTGTGTTGAAGTTGGCAGGAAGCGCCACGCTGTTGTCCCCCGGGCTGCGTGTCCTACATTGCTGGCCCCTGAGCACATGGGTTCCGGTGTCCCCACACCCGCATGGTGCTCCGGGTTCCTGGGTCAGATTGGTTTTGTGTTTAAAAGATTCTGTGTATCAGAGAGCGAGCAAGCATGAGCAGGGGGCGCAGAAGGAGAAGCAGGCTTCCCGCGGAGCAGGGAGCCCGACGCGGGGCCTGTCTTAGGACCCTGAGATCATGATCTGAGCCGAAGGCAGACGCTTAACGACTGAGCCCCCCAGGCGCTTTTGTTACGGGTTGTTTTTTTTTTTTTTTAATCAAGTGCGAGCTAGCAGGTGTGCAGTGGCACCGTGGGGTCCTTGGTGACATTGGGCACCCAGGCCACCTCTGTGCTGGGTCCTTGGCCCTGTTTTCAGTCAGGTGGTCATTTCCGTATAGAGATGCAGGTGTCAAGACACCACACATGGGACGTGATTTTCCCATAATACAGGTCGTGGGCGTCGCTGCAGACCAGGCTGTTCCCACCTGCCCTGTGCTGTCCCGTGTGCTCATGCCATGGGGCACGGGGTTTGTCCCCTCTGCCTCAGCCCGCGGGGGTCTGAGTCCACGTCCCGGGGCCCCTGGCGTGGCGCTCAGCAGAGTTTGGGGTGTCAGTTCTGCAGGCACCTGATTGTGTCTGAGAAGGGCCACGTGGAGTGGAAGCTGATGTACTTCGCGCTGCAGAAGCACTACCCGCCGCGGGAGCAGTACGGGGACACGCTGCACTTCTGCCGCCACTGCAGCATCCTCTTCTGGAAGGTAAGCGGGGCGGGCGGGGGTCCACGGGCTCGGCTGCGGGAGTGAGGGGAGTGGTGCTGAGAAAGCAAGCTTGATCTCCCCAGATGTCGGGGCGGGGGACAGAGTCACGGACGTGAGCCGGACAGCCTGTGGTTGGAGTCGTAAGTGTCGGGCAGCCACGTGTCTCTCTCTGCTCGGGGGACATGTATCCCCAGGGGCAGCCTGTCCTGGGCGGTGCCACATTCCTGCCAGCCCTCAGCCCGGGAGAAAGGGGCCAAAGCGTCTGGAGCGGGTGTCCCACACTGGGCCTCCAGCCCTGCACCTCTGGCACCCCTGCCAGCGCCTCCTCACGGCTCCCCTCCACGCCAAGCCCCTGCGGCAGGGAGGTCCCAGCCTTTCAGAGGGACACACGGTTTTCTTATTTGATCGAAACTGAACCAGCGACTGCTGACTCACATTTGGAATCGGAGGACCCGGGCGCGCTAGAAGCCCTCCGCCCCGTGGCTCCCTGCCACACACACAGTCTCGGTCTGTCCGCAGTGGGAGGGGAGCCCATGTCCCGGGTCGTTGGCCTTCACCCTGGGATGTGTGCCCATGGTCTCCTTGACCACGAGGAGCGTGCGTCCTGAGCTCTCCCTGCTCCGTGGACGGCGAGTGAGATCCGTGTGTGCACCCCACGTGCGGGGCCCTCGTCCTGCTGGGGGACGGCCGTCAGCTTCTGCCTCGTCAGCAGCATCCCTGCTCCTCGCTTCGCCACACATTTACCTGCAGCTTGTCGGATGGAGCGCGGGGCAGACGCTGCATTGTTGCAAAGGAGACGTCTCTCCGCTCCGAGGACGTCTGTGCTAGTGTCACTTGTGGTTTCCTGTTGCCTGTGGCGAGTCGTGAGTGCAGTCCCGTGGAGTGTTTCCTCTGTTACTGTAACAGAGGGTCCCTGCTGCCCTTTGCACGAGTCACGTGGGATTTTGTTTCCAAGTCACTGACGTCTGTTAGTAGGATTCCCGCCTCGCAGTGAAAACACGGTGCAGGTTCCGTGTTCTGTGGTCACAGCTGTTCTGTAGGACACGGTTCCTCAAGGGCACAGTCTGAGCAGGTGTGTTCTTGCCTCGGCCTGATGGGTGAGGGAGGCACAAGTCCGTCTGTGGGGAAGCCCATGTCCCCAGCCCCAGGGCACGAGGGAGGCTTGTGTGCACCCCACACAGCAGGTGCTCGTGGATGCAGACAGAGGAGCATGGCTCCCTGCGTCCCAGCTTCTGAGGGTCCGGGGCACCGACACAGACCCATAGCAGCGACCTCACGGGGCCGTCGGGGTAGGTCCCTGACGGGGATCTGGTCTGGGCCTCAGGAGGGAGTCACTGTCCCTCCGCGCTTACACAGCCGGCTCTGCTCTCCTCCCGTGGTTCTGCAGCCGGAGCTCTGCGTCGCCAGCTTCCCGAACTGGGGTGAAGCGGCCGGGGCGTTGCTGGGCAGCCAGCCAGAAGGAGTCCTGTTAGAGGCCAGGACCAGGGCTCAGGGCTGGGTCGCCACCAGAGAGCGTGCAGGAACCAGAGTGGACACCGCAGGCCTGGGGCTCCGGGCGGGACCGGGTGGGGTCACGGCAGGTCTGCGCCCATGGGCAGAGCAGACCCTCCAGGTGGCCTGTGCACGGTGCCCGCAGGATGCACGGTGGCGGGCACGCGAGGGGCAGCAGGCGGGAGGCTGGGTAGCGTGTGGGGAGGTCGGCAGCTGCTCAGTGGGGCGCGGACAGAGCACGAGCGAGCAGGAGCGACAGTAAGGTGGGTGGCAGGCATTTGGCAAAGCAGGTGCTGGGCTGCGCGGGAGAGACTAAACGGCTTCCGCAGACACGGCCCAGGCGTCTTCGGTACAAGCCGGGAGACCGCAGCCTCGCACCGCGTGTGCCGTGGGGAGTTCTGCGGTGGGGGCTGCAGCCTGGGCCGCATTCAGCCGAGACCCCGAGGCAAGGGGAGTGTCGGTCCCGGCCTCCGGACGATGGGTCCTACTGGTCGATGCGCTGCCTCCAAGACTGTTCCCACCGCCCACCTCCGTGCCAGCGGCGCCAGCCGTGTCTGCAGATCACCGTCCGCACGGACGCTCGCGCGGCCTGCTCTCTCGCTAACGTCGCTTTCCCTTTCTCTCCCTCCCTTCCCCGCACTCCTCCTGGTGCTTTCTCCACGACCTCAAAGGACTGCCGCCTTGCTTTGTTGTTCAAGGTACCTCCGTGCTAGACCAGGCCTCGTGTCGCGTCCACGCATGCTCCCCGGCCGGCCAGAACTGCCCCCTGAGCCACCTGCGGGATGTCCTTGGGGCCAGTGCGTCAGGGGAAGGCTCAGCCCGAGGGGGACATGGACACATGTCTGTGAGCTTTTATTCAGGCACGGGGCCACATGGCAGGTGCCTCGACCCGGCGTGGCCTCCAGCTCCCCCCGGTCTCTGCTCTCTAGCCTCCTCCTCCTTCCAAGTTTGTCGGTCTGCGGAGCACCTGTTCCTTTAGTCGCTTCTCCTGTGAAACAGGATCCCAGCCTCCCGCTGAGTGCAAGCTCCCCGGGGGGCGTCCTGCCGTTGGAGCGCGCGTTCCGGGGCCAGGCCAGGGAGGCAGAGAACCCCCGGTCCCGGCCCTCTAGCTTGGGCCACCTGCCTCTGCTCACAAACCTCCGTGCCCGTCTGCCCTTGTAACGCGGGTCTGTGTCCTCCACACGGCGCTGGGGCCCGGGTGCTCCGTGGTGACCCCTCTGCCTCCTCCCGCAGGACTCGGGGCACCCCTGCACCGCCGCTGACCCCGACAGCTGCTTCATGCCCGTGTCCCCACAGCACTTCATCGACCTGTTCAAGTTCTGAAGGCGGAAGGGGTTCGCCGTGCTGTGCTGTCACCGGGGAGCGACAAGAGCCTGGAGAACGCGCCTCCCCATCCCTGCACGGACAGGCCACAGGGCGTTGGTTTGTTCTGAAAAGGGGTCAGGGAACCCAAGCAAAATCATTTCACTTTCTCTAAAATCCTCTTCGTTTAAGCCTGTGACGGTTTGCAACGTTATGTGTTTATTAATATGGCTCAGTAAGGTCCTGGGTTAGTAGCACCACGTTCTGTGCCACACTGACACTTACGGCTACCACTGTGCTTGACCGCCAGATCATAGTTTCCTGATTCTGTAGTGATTAGGGGCAGGGACGGAACAATGGGCTGTTGTAAATACGGGGTGCAGAATATTTATTTTTCTTAATATGTATTTTAACTGCACTGGTTGTGTCCAAGTGAGTCCTCACTGATGGAAGTGAGCCAAGGCCAGCGTGTGGTACCGTTGTGTTCGTGGTCAGTCTGTGGTCAGTCTGTGGCCAGCCACGGTGTGGGTGGTGGGACCGCCCGGTGCAGCCGCCCCTTCACTGTCCTGGAAGTGCTTTCCTAGACAAAGTAATAAATCGTCTTTATTTACTTATCTGACTTCCTCGATTTTACACCTTTCTGAAAAAGTAGTGTCTGTGGTTTTGATATCGTTGATTTAAACCTTTAAAAGATTGTTTTATTTTTAAAATAATGCATGTCTATTTTGGATATTTTGGGGAATATGTTCTGAAAGAATATACAAGTCACCCAGGACCCTGTCCCCCGAGACCCTGCTCCTGCCCCATAGATGAGCTCCCACCCCGGCATTGTCAGAGCAGTGGGAACCCCCACAGATCATCTCTCCTTCCGGCCCTAAGTTTTTCCTCTTCTAAGCATATAAAAACGGTTTGCGGTTTCGCGTCTTTGTAAATAAAGATTCTGGATTTTCAGTATCACTGTCTGTGCTGACCTGGTGCTGAGGGCCAATGATGTGCTTCCCGCCGGGACATGGCGTGGAGCCCGGGACGTCTGTGGGTCGCAGGAGGGGCTTTTCCTGTTGACCCTTCCCGGGTTCTGCTGGCTGTGCACGGTCGCGGGAGGCAGGGTGTCGCTGACTCCTGCTGCGCGCGGAGGACCTGGGATGGGCAGGCTGTCAGCAGCTCGTGTGCGGCTCTCCGGCCCCTTGAGACGAAGGAGGAGCAGAGCCCAGGGACGGCATCACATGTTGGAGGATGTGTCCAGACTACTCCTGTGACCGGAAGTGGTTAGGACTTTCCCCGGCAGCGACACATGGAGCGCCTGAGCTCCCCGAAGAAGGCTGCTGCGGGCTCCCTCCCCCGGCACTCTTGGCCGACGTGAGGGACAAGGTGTGTCCACATTTCTTTGTGTGATCGCCCGTGGGTTTTTGTTTTGGGTAAGTTGCCTAACATGTGTCTTTTGCCGGTTTTCAGTGTTGGTCTTTTTTGGTGTTGATTTCTTCTCAAAAGGACGTTGAAGTTTGAGGTCTTGTCCCCCAAACATGTGTCCGTAGCACAGAGGGGAGCACAGCCGCTGCGCTCTGCTAGCCCGTCCGGGGGTCCATGGGAGGCCCGGCCGAGCTGCGGACAGTGGCCGCTTTCTCAGCGGCCTTGGGGAAGACACGGAGTGAGTAGAGGCCACAGGCTGAGCAGAAGGCAGACGGCATCCAGGCAGCCATCAGCCACGTGCAGGAGGGGGTGAGACGCAGAATTGTTCTGAACTCCACGCTGGAATGGTGCTTTGAATGCGGGTCTGTTAGGGGACACTGTGAGCTGGAGACCCCACAGCCTGTCTCCTGTGCCTTCAGCCCGAGAGGGCCAGGCCGAGGCATCCGGTTGTGCCTGAGGTGGGACATGCACCTGGTGGGCCTTAGCAGGCACTGCCAGCCAGAAAGGCCGTCCAGACGCAGCCGTGCCCATTTCGTGGCACAAAAAGCTGTTTCTCACCCAGTGTGTGGCCACAGAGGACGGGGATGACCTCTGACCCCTCACCACGCGCCCCTGTTGATGGTTCAGGACTCTGTACGAGGAACTAGGTCTGCTGTAGGACACTTAACGCCTGACTGCCGACAGCGTGTGCTGTAAATGCTGTCCTTAGACCCCCAGACCCCCCATAAAATGTTGGTATTTGTGCCCCGTGACCTGCTGAGCTCAGACCGGTGGTTGCTGTGCAGACTCCCACAAGTGTCCACACGCAGCTGGAGTCTGGGCACCCTGACGGTCTGGGCTGGGGCCTGTGGTGCCATGCCAGCCGCAGACGTCAGTCATGCTCCCCGCCGACGGAAGGCTGCGTTTCCTCTGTGAGTGTGAGGGTGCCGTGAGCTTCCTGTAGACGCCTTTATCAGGTTGGGACTTAACCTTCCGGTTGTACTTTCTTGAGGATTTTTTTAATCATAGAAGAGTATTGGATTTTGTCATGCTTTTCCACATCCGTTGAGATCACGTGGCTTCATCCTTCATCCGGCTCGTGTGGCATGAAGCATTGGTTGATTGTTGTTCCTTTACGATGTGACCTCCACACCCACTGTGGGGCATAGACTCACAACCCCGGTGTCAGGGGTTGTGCGCGGCACTGACGGAGCCTGCCACGGGCCCCACATTGGTTGCTTTTTGCCCATGGAACCACCCTTGCATTCGGGGCTGAAATCCCACTAGGTGGTGGCGCTAAATTGTCCTTTTTGTACCGACTTGCTGGTTTAGGTTTGCTGATATCACACAGGTTTTTCATAGGTGATCTCAGTCTGAATTTCTTGGGCTGTCTTTGTCCTGTTGTGGTCAGGGTGAGGACGTCCGGGCAGACTTAGGATGAACTCGCCTTGACAGTGGTCGCTAGGCTGTTTGAGGGCAGAGTGTGTGAGGGACCCCGGTGTTACTCTGCTTCAGACGCTCAGTCGAGCTTCAGGGCTTGTGCTTCTTGACGAGCAGCTTCCTTCTTGGAAGATCCTTTCTCTTTCAGAGGCAAAGACCCCCCACGATAACCCGCCGTCACACGGACTCTGCTGCTTGCCCCACAGTGAAAACACTGAAAACCAGTCTTAAGAGGCAGAAGATCCCGTGTTTATGAACTACAACTTGAATTCCTCCGTGAACCCTGTGCGGGTGCATGCCTGACCCCACCCTCCACCCTTGGTCCTGCCTCGCGTGTCAGACGCTGCCTAGTGAGAGGCCCGACGGCTTGCACAGGGTACCGGGAAGGCCATTAGGATCTGCCTGTCCTGGGTGCTCACCTGTCCCCATTAGACACTAACTTCCCAGCTTCCGCCCTCAGCTCCCGCCACCTCCTGTTGCAGTGGGGAATCTGACTACCCAGGATGCAGGATGTCCCCAGAATCATCTGGTACTTGGCCTTTTGTGACCGGCTTGTTTCAGTGAAAGTCATGTCCTCAGGGTCCATGCACGCCGTGGCCCGTCTCAGGATATCCTGACTGCTCAGGGCTGAGCCGTGTTCTGTTGCCCGGGCAGACCGCAGTTCGTCTGTGGGACACTGCTGTGAACGAGGGTGTGCCCGCATCTCTCCTCTCTCTCTGCTTTCCCTTCCGTTGGATAAACACCCAGAAGCAGAATCGGTGCATCAGATGCTCATTCCATGCTGCTCTCATTTCTAGGAGATCCTGAACGACGTTCCGCAGACCCGCAGTCTGCATCCTAGCAGCAGCGCGGTGCCTCTCTCTCTCCATGTTCTCGCCAACACTGTTTCTGGGGCGGTCACCATACAGTGACCGTTCTAACAGGCGCGAGGTGGTGTCTCCTGCAGGTCTGGGTTTCTGTCCCCTTGGTGATTAGTGGTCTGGAGCCCCTTCTCGTGTGTCCATTGGCCATCTGTCTGTCATATTTGGAAAGATGTCTGTTCAAGTCCTGTGCCCATTTCTTTGTTGTGTGTTTTTATTGTTGAGTTGCATGAGTTCCCTGTCTGTTCTAGATACTAACTCCTTACAGGCGTATGAGTGGAAGATGTGCTCCCCTATTGTGCAGGTCGCCTTTTCACTGTTGTGTCCCTGATGCGTGCAGGTATCAGTTTGGTGGAGCCCATTTCCCTTTTTCCCAGCGTTGGCTGACCTTTTCATCTCCTGAGAGATCATTGACAAACCTAAGGTCATGAAACTTTCTGCTTTTCCCAGAACTTTTACAGTTTTATTTAGCTTTTACGTTTAGGCGTTTGGATCACTGAGGTCATACTTGTGGATGGTGTAATGTAAGGCCCAACTTCATTCCTCACATGTGGACGTCCAGTTTTCTCACCACCATTTGCTGAAAACACTGCCCTTTCCCCCACTGAATGGTGTTGGCACCTTTGTTGAAAATCATGATTGTGTATGTGATAGTGTTTCCGAGCTCCCTGTCTCGTCCCATTGGTCTGTGTGTCTCTGTGTGTTCTTACGCTAGGACAAAACTATTTTCCTTACTGTAGCTTCATAGTGAGTTCTGAAATCAGGATATGTGAGTCCTTTGACTTTATTCTTTTTTTAGGATTGTTTTGGCTATTTGAGATCCCTTGAAAGTCCATGTAAATTTTAGGATTTTTTCTATTTCTGCAAAAACGGCTAGATTTTGATGAGTGCATTTAATCTAGATCACCTTGGGTGGTGGTGTCATCATAAGTCATACAGCCACAGGCATGGTGGGTTTTCCCATTTGTCTGTGTCTGCTCTAATGGCTTTAAGCCACATTCTAGTTCTCAGCATACGATAATTCAGCCTCTATGGCTGAGTTTATTCCTATTTTATTCATTGTTGCTGTTGTAAATGAGATTTTCTTAATTTCCCTTTGCAGTTTCTCATTGTTCATGTATAAAAACACAGCTGTTGTTTTTATAGTGATTTTGTATCCTGCAACTTTCCTAAGCATGCCTATTCTATTCTGCTTTTTAGTGGTGGCTTTGGTTTTCTCTGATTTTTTTTTTTTTTTTTTTCGGTAGAATCTTCAGGGTTCTCTGCAAATAAAATCGTATCATTCATAAGTAGTTATACTTTTTAGAGTTGGGATGCCTTTTAGTTTTCTTGCCTAATTGCTGTGACGAGGACTTCTAGTACGATGTGTATGTAATAGGAGTGGTGAGAGTGGACTTTCTCATCTCATTCCTGACCTTAGAGAAAACGCTCAGTCTTTTCTCAGCAAGTAGGTTAGCTGTGGCCTTTTTCTATATCCCTTAGTAAGTCAGGGCAGATTTTCTGTTCTGAGTTAGTTTTTTTGTTTTTTATCAAATGCTTTTTTCTGCATCAATGAAAATAATGTTTTCCTCTTCATTCTATTAATGCATGTAGTGAATTATCACTTGGTGGATTTTATCCTTTATTGACAGTACAAGATTGATGTCTCTACTGTTATCCTGGAGCTGCCTGTTTCCTCTTTCAATTCTGTCACTGTTTGCTGCAGGTATGTTTGTAATTATCGTATTTTCTTGATGAATTCCCAACTGTTTTTTATTTAAACATGAAGATGAAATTATAGGATGTCTGGGATCCACTGTAACATCACAGTGCAGTCAGGAGTACCTGAATAAGACAAAATTGGATCATCGCTGAGGCTAGGAGGGTGGTTCACCCAGGAGTTCATAGCAGGACTCCGCAGACCTGCTCTGTGAACATACGGGGCCTTGTGGGCCACGTGCCCCTCCTCCACTCGCTCAGCAAAACCCCGGACGGCAAGCAGCATGTCCACGAGAGTGCGCTGTGTTCAGACTTTACCGACAGAATCCTGTGTTTCATACACTTTCCATGTATCATGATACAGGATTCTTTTAAGTTTTTTCACCATTTAAAAATGTAAAAATAATTCTTACGGGCCATGAACAAACAGGTGGTGGCCCAAATTTGGCTAGCAGGCCATAGTTTTGCCACCCCATTACTTATGTTTTTCTTTTCTTTTATATATGTTTGACACTTAACATTTTACTTTTTAAAATAACTGTTCTCTTTCTCTTTATTAAAAAGTAATAGATGTTCATTGTAAAAAGCTTTTTTAATTTTGTTTTTCATTTTCTTTAAGATTTTATTTATTCCTTTGACGGAGAGAGACACAGCAAGAGAGGGAGCACAAGCACGGGAAGTGGGAGAGGGAGAAGCAGACTTCTTGCTGAGGAGGGAGCCCGATGCGGGGCTCAATCCGTGGGATCACGACCTGGGCCAAGGGTAGACACTTCACCACCGAGCCACCCGGACGCCCCTGTAAAAAGCTTTCTAAAAAAGTCAGTACACAGAAAATTTTAAATGCTACCCATGATTCTGTCTGAGGTAATTATTCACATTTAGATAGATTTCCCCAATATTTCATATGACTTTTGAAGCCACCTAAGCTCCCAAACATAAAGGGAAAGAAACAGGAGGAAGCGATGCCCTCGTGGACACCTGGAGTTGTGCGTTCCTGACGGGGCTTCTCACGTGCAGCTTCTCCGTGCCGAGCTTTGAAGACGCCTTACGGAACAGAAGCTCTTGGCATCTCCGGCTCACCTCCCGCACCAGCCCTGAAGCCTCCAGGGAGGAGACTTCTGAAATTTTGGTTTCCAAAGGAAGAGCAAACTTCACTTCTCAAAACGCCCTGAGTGAGTGGTATTTCCCATCATCCCTCCCACTTCAGACTCGTTCAGCTCTCTTGAAAAGTTAAATTATCTAAACTTTGTACTTTTTAAAATCTTGTCAATATTTTCCTAAAACCCAACACTAATTTTGACTTACTAAGGAAATGACATTCGGTGGAAGTCATCCCAAAGAGACCAATCCTAGTGACTCTTGGGGAAAGCTGAGATTCTATCCAGCCTTTCTCCCCAGATGACAGTGTGTCACCCGCAGTTCTGAAAACCACGTTAATTACACAAATTTTTCCACCCAAGGTGCCAGGCTTGGTGTGTTCTAAGCGTAGCTGCTTCCGGACACACGGGACAGTTTGTGGCCTGAGAGGCAGAGGTTGTAAGGGCCTCGCGGTGCGATCAGAACCCCAGGAGGTTCTCGCACAAACCGTGCAGGCGGGCACCGACTGGGGGTGTGCGATCCGTCAGAAGCCGCGGCAGCTGAGAAACACGGTGGGCGTGCTGATGCCAGCACCCACCCCGGGGAGGCTGTGTTGGCAGGAAGCAGGGTTCCCAAGGCCCCAGCAGGGCCCAGCAGCCTTCAGCCCTGCTTGCAGTGCCGGGAGGACAGCCCCCTGACGTACCGTATTTGACACGGATGCCGCGTCGCGGGGGCCAGACGTAGCTTATGCGCCATATCCTGGTTTTGAGGAAAAGGTTACGAGGAGCTGGACGGACATCTTCCGGCCAGCTGGGGAAGTCTGTGTTGTGTGGGTGTCTGTAGACTGTGCTGGTGGGAGCGCATGCTGGTAGCGTAAATTTAGGGTTGAAATGTCATGATGTTCATAGCTTAAACGCTTAAAGAAATCTAATTTTCAAACAGCCCAGCCAGCTACTGAGGGAGCCGCTGTCGGACTGCATGGGAGGAGGGTGGTGTGGACGCTGCCGAACCTGCCAGGGGGTCTCAGATGGCCCGGACCCTCACGCCAAAGCCAGCCCTGCGGTCACTGGGGCCCCTCCTGCCATGGCCCCAGAGGCCGGACCACTGCCTGCACTCTATAGGTCATGGGCATTCTCTTTTCTGCTGCCCGCACGGGATGTGGCGTATCTGGGACGGCGTCCCCATGACCCTCCCCCCGCAACCGCAGCTGACAGTCATGCCACCGGCCGGGTTCCCTGTGCTTGGTGGCTGCAGGCATCAGCCGTGTTGGCTAGGGGGTCTGTCCACCTACGCGCCACAGATCCCATGGCCCCGGGGAACCTGACCAGCACAGACCGCCCTCAGCCCTGGTTTCTGGGAAGGTGGAGGCACAGAGGTCATGGGGGGCAGGGTGGGGGACACACCTGTGAACCCCTTGTATGTAGTAGGACCCCGAGGACAGGACTGGAGCGCAGGGTGCCCCCCCCAACGTACCTGCACCCCTGGGTCCCCAGATAGCAGAGCTCCACTGGCTGCGTGTGTCCCCTTCCTGAGGTATGTACCCGTATCCTCTGGAACAGGCCACTGTTCCTCGCGGACTTTCCTCCAAGAGATGGTGATGGAAGTAAAACTGCTGTTGCTGGGACGCCTGCGGCTTCTCCACTGGGTGCGGCTCTCAGTGCCCGACCCCAAAGTCCGCTCAGAGCATGCTGCTGACTCCTCACAGGCTGGCCACAGTGGAAGCCGGTGGCTCCACTGCTCAGATATGCAAAAGGTACATCCCAGACACTTTGTCTCCTTGTGTTGTTTGCATTTTAAAATGAGGGTTAAGGTATCAAGAAAAGTGCCATCAGCTCTCAGTGACTAAAGTCACAAGCATTCACCTCCAAGTCGATGCCAACGACCATGCAAACTAGTAACGAAAGAGGAAATGAATGTACTTTTATTCTTGTAAAACCTCAGCTGAGAATGAATTCTCCTTTCTTCAACGCCAGTCACTTTCCTTTACAAAATAAGCAACAGTAGAAGGAGCACAGACCACTGGCCCTTTACACAGTGAAGTCATGTGTTCACAGAAGGCAGACAAAAACCCCAAAACCACATTCTCTCACTAACCCGTGAACATCACACAGCTGCTCGGTAAACTCGATCAAGAAAAATACTTTTCTCCCAAAGCACAGCAATAAATATATTAAAAAACCACAAACATACTTATTTTCATTTAGTCTGAGACAACAGAAGAAAAAGCTTGTTTTTACATTAATCTTTGTAATAAGAAAAATGTGATTTACAGTGCGTATTCCAATTCCAACCTGGCTTTGTCTTCAGATGTTCAGAAACAGTGTTCTGGAGTGTCACCAGCCTCGTGTCACAGACTCGCACAGAGGTGAGTTACAGGCACTTAGCGTTGCCACACGGGTGTGCGGCCACCTGCCGCGGGGCTCGGGTTCCAGACACAGCGCCTCCAGCTCTGGCTCTGACACGCGTGCCCGAGTCCGGCCACCAACTGAACCCTTTCCCTGAGGACTTGTTCCAGCTTCCCTCTGTCACCAAACATCCCCCAGCATTTCAAGGTCCTAACAAACTTAAGACATGCCCAAGTAAGTTCCTTGATCTACTAAAGAAAGATGGACAGATGGGTGGATGGAGGACAGACTGATGCTGTTACCATCAGGAGTCCTGGCACTGGGCCTGCGTGGGGTCCCACAAGTGTTTTCCAACAGGGGGGAGCATGTTTTCTCACGAGAGGTATGCACAGTGTCACTGGAGGTTTTGTTTTTAGCCAAAAAAACCTCTAAACCTTTTCCTCCAAACCACCACTGCCGCAGGCAGCCGTGGGCGCCGCCTGCGGACACGGCGGTCCTGCCAAGGAGCCCTGAGCCCAGTGCGCGGCCTGTCCTTGCTTTGCGGCCGCGGCCACGGCAGCTGGCTCACTAGGAAACCAGACACCTGCACGTTATAGAAAAGAGGCACTTGCAGTATTTTATATAGTTTTAACTCCATCAGCAAGTTCGTGTTTCCCAAGAGTAACTGAGAGGATCGAGTTGCTAACCCTGACCCACACGTCACGGCACTCTTGAGCCTGCAGCCACAGAACACGCTTTTGGCAGAACATGAAGATCACAACGTGGACGTCTGGGACGAGTAAGAGGAGCCCTAAAGGAGGAACCACTGTCCCCGTCCTCCGTGCACAGGGGAGACTCCTCCTCCCAGCGCACGAGATGAAGGTAAAGCGGAGAGTGGCATCTCATGCTGCACCAGATGTAACCTTTGCTTTTCTGGTATTTGTGATGAAAAATTGAATTCGCTGGGTCGAACGCAGTTTAACATAACCTTTGGAAGAGTGGCTTCACGGCTGGATCGCGGGCTTCTGGGAGCAGAAGAGGGCCCGGCCCGCCGCTACAGTCGAGTGTCACGGACACACACGGACACCACATGCAGGACATGGGGGGGGGAGCACGCAGGGGAGGACAGCAGGGTGCAGCTCACGGGACGGTGCCCAGCGGCACTGTTAGAGGCAGACGCTCCCCAGGAGGTGGCTGGGGCTCCCCTCCGTCAGCCTGTGGGCAGGCCCGTGTGGACACGGGCAGGCGGGGAAGGCGTTCTGCTCTCGTCCTCACAGAAACACCAGGGCAGCGGCAGGCGTGTGAACAAACACGGCGTGAGACGGCACACTCTCTCGGGCCTGCACAGAGAGAGAAGACACGGGGCCACGTTAGCAGTTGTGGGCGGGGAACGCGCGCTCTGCGCACCTGTCCAGAGGGGGCCGGAGGGTCACTCCAGCTCCTCCCAGTTGTCGGTCAGGTGGCCTCTGCTCTGCCGACGGATGCCGACCAGCTTCCCCGCCGACCGCAGGCTCCAGCGGGAGCTGTTCCCTGAGCTCGCCAGGCTGCTGTACTTCCTGCAGCCCTTGCCGTCCTCCTCCCAGCCGGGCCGAGGCGGGCGGCCGCTTGCCGTGTCCCCGGTGTCGGCCGTCACCTCTTCGAGAGCGACTGCTGGAGGCTCCCACCCTTCAATCTCATCCGGTTTCTTCGGCTGAACGTTCTGTTTTAAAACCAGATTGTCCCAAAATCCAGACTTCTTCTCTGTCTTCAGCTCGTCTCTTAACCGTAAGTTAGTTCTGTGGGAGACAAGACAGCCGTGTGTGGGTAACCCCGTGATCCGGGACTCAGTTAGGGTCTGCTGTGCACACGGAACACTTTTTCACAAGATTAAGTCATTTATAAAGTACCTGCAAATCTGTAATTATATCTGAATTAAAATTAGTAAAGTAAGTCCCTGCCTATTACCGAAGCCGGGGGAGCCGCATCTGCAGGAACACTTGGCTCTACACAGCAAAGAGCGAGTTCTGACGCAAGGAAATGCTTGCGTGTTCGAGCAGAGTAGGTAGCAGGAAGCTGCAGATGCGAATGAAGAGGTGGGGACCAACGCTCCGTTTATCGAGCCGTTGCCACGGCCGTTCTCACGTGCAGCTCGCCCGTCAGAAGCTGCGAGCGGGTAATTTGCTGAACACAACTGAGCTTCGGACCCTGGGCGTGGGGAGGACAAGACAGCAGTGGGCAGGAGCCAGGCCGGCGTCCCTCCAGCCTGAGAGCAGGGCCCTCCCCAGGGTGTTACGGCACACGCACAACCCAGGCCGCAGCCCCGGGCAGAGGCACCCCGCAGAAGCCGACCCCGGGGACCCGGGGCCAGGGAGGGAAGTAAGGAAGCGTCCCGGCCGTGGGGCTGGAGCAGGGCTGCCTGGGCGCCCTTGGCCCAAACAGCAGCGCCCCGTCTGCGGCCAGGCCCAGCGGCTCAGCTCCCTTCACACACGCCGTTGGCAATCCCGCTCAGCTCTCAATGATTCTATCTTTTCATGTTTAAATATACTTTAAAGAATTCCGCTTGTAATAAACAGCAATGGGCCAGTTTAAATATACACAATTTTCAAAAATCTTTTTCCCGCCTTGATTTTCTGCAGTTAGTGAGCGTCTCACACGTGCCTAGAGGCTGTTTGAAGACCAAGTGCCATTTCCAGCTCTGAGTTCGAGAGCTGGTCTGGGAACCTTTCAGTCATCCCGTGAGCTCTCAAGGGGCTTCTGGAGGCCACCTCGTGACCCCCTCCCCGAAGCGCATCCTCCTCACTTTCTCCTGCTGCCGCAACACGAAAACGAGCGCAGCGTGTTTCTGTCCACTCCCCGCCCGCCGCCACCAGCCCGGCCCTCCCGCGGGGCCCCACGCGGACTCACCCTTTGGACTTGGGGGATTTGCATCTTTCCAGCAGGTGCTGCTCGTCGTCTTTATTGAACAGAGAAGTCACTTCTTTCCAGCCTCGGAAGCTTGCTCCCTGACCCTGAGAGAGAGAGCCGCTCTGAGGGAGGAAAGAGGAGGCTTCTGGGTCCGGCGACCATGGGGCCCCGAGCAAGCCGCCGGCGCAGGCCCCGCCTGCCGCTGCTGAGCGCGCCCACGCGGTCCCCCTCACGGCGGGGGCCCCCCGCTCCGGAGCGGGGGGGGGCGCTCAGCTCACCCCCCAGCCTGAGTCAGATGGGACGCCGCACCCATCAGGCGGCGTTTCGGCCTCTGTGTCTGTCTGTGCGGGTCCCAGGGTCCGCAGTAACACGAAGGAAGCAACGGGGCAGGGAGGTCCCTGGGCCAGGTGCCTGACCCGTGAACTCACAGGGCGCCCGGGGTCGCGCACACGGCCTGGAGGAGGGTGACTCTAATACTCTGAGACATGAAACACGTAATGTGACCTAAAGCAACCCGGGAAACCGGACCAGGAGGCCGTGCGACACCCTTGGCGGCCACGCCCGAGAGTCTGATGCCACAGAAGCCACTCAGGGGGCCTCAGGGCCACAGGGAGGCCCGTGACCTGGGGTCAGCTGTGGCAGGCAGCCCAGCGCCCCCTGGTCCTGACGGGAGCCGGCCCAGCCCGTGGTGCGACCGGGGGTGTGACTGGTCAGGGCCACGCAGCGGGGAGGAGACTTGGCCACATGAACCAGGAACACAGGCAGACTCGACGCGGGGGTCCTCGGCAGGGGGGGGGTTCTCAGCAAGACAGGAGCCCGGGGCCCTTCGAGGCCAGAGTAGGGACGGCCATACTCACGCCGCTGAGACTGAAACAGCCCCGGGGGAAGAGGAGGACAGATGTCTGCTGAGCACTCAGGAGCCCATGGGTGGGTGGGCACCAGGCCGCAGGCATCGGCACCCCCCCCCGGCCCCCGCAGGACCTCCAGGTCCACCAGGACCACCTTGTCCTGCTCACTCCCTGCTGAGCCGCTCGGGGCAAGGCCACGTCTTTCCCTGGTCCCACAGCACCAAGTGGGGTGGCGGTGAGTGCCTGATGGACCCACACTTGCCAGCGGCTGCCCCTCAGCAGCACGGCTGCTCCATCCCAGGCCCTGTGTCACGCAGGAAGTTCCCGGGGGGTTCACAGGGGTTCACAGAATCCTCAGCGCTTAGTCTCTTGCCCACATTGGGGGCCTCCCCTGAGGCCGGGAGCTTGGGGCCCCTCTCCAGACATGCACAGACATGTCGGACACGGTTTGCTGGGTGCCGTGGCAAGGACAGCAGGTCTCCCGAGGGACTGGGTTCTTGCCCATCACATCGTGCCCTGGGGCCAGGTCCATTGGCCACCACACCCCCACACCGTGGCTGCTCCAAGGACACACGCCACGTGGGGGTAGACACCATTCACAGCACTTCTGGGGGCCACCACCCAGGAAGCCACCAGCCACAGACGTCCTGGGGAGCTCCTTACAGCGGAGGGTGGTGGGGACGGAAAGCGGGCAGCACGCGCTGGCCGGGGGCGCGGGGTTCGCCCAGCAGAGCTGCAGGCGGCCCAGAGCACCCCCGTGGCCCAGATGCAGGAGCTGCCCAAGGGTCCCGTACTCATGCGTGGGCCCTTACTCGGCCGTGAGTGACGCTGGGGTCCTACTGGCAGGGACATCTGTGCCAAGAGGAAGCTCGGTACCCTCTGATCTTGTGCCCACGTGCAGCCAAAACCCCAAACTCCTCCCAAGAACTTGAGCCGTGCTTGCTGGGGCGGCGGGGTGGGGTGGAAGGCCGGCGTCGAGGCCGCAGTCAGCCCCCGGGGTGCTGGCACCGGCAGATGGGACATGGGCAAGAGCGGCCCCAGGAACTCTCCTCACAGGCAGAGACGGTTTCGAGAGGGTGGATGTTGGCCCGACGGGGTGTGGGATCATCTCACAGGAGACGAAAATCCCACACCAAGCCCATGCGTAAGCTCCCAGGGCGATGCGTCCCCGTTGGTCAGCGAGCGGGCCGCGGGAGGGGCCAGCAAACCACAGCCCCGCCGGAGGCCCCGCAGCTAGCAGTCCGAGGAGCGGGGACCGCAGCACCCAGAACACGCCACTCCCTGCACCCTGCACTGGGGGGGCACATATGCCCAGCCCTCGCCCCCGACGGGCAGCCACAGGCTCTGCCGCTCCGCCCCAGCACGCATACGGTCATGGCTGCGGCGGGGCCGCAGAGGCACCGCGACGCACCAGAGGGAGTGAGTGACACTATCTCAGGGCAGATGCGTCGCTGGAAAAGGCAGAGTCGGACGCAAGGATGGCAGCGAGACCACAAATGGCAGCAGAGGCGCTGGGCGGGGAGGGCCCAGGACACCGCAGGCAAAGAGGCCCGGGCTCGGCCATAGGCGAGCCGCTCAGCTCGCGACTCCGGTCCTGGCCATGTGGTCCACACGCCAAGTCGGCCGCAGGCTCAAACGCACCTTCTGTGTCCTGGGCCAGGAGGGGCCCGAGGGAACGTCCCACGTGTGCTCGACATGATTCAGTCACCCTGCAGGTCCCAGCCGGCCCAGCCTGACCTCCGGGGAGCCCCCATCCCAAAGGCCATTCGAAGGTACGCCGGCCACCGGGTCCACTCCCGAGTGCGGCCATGTCCGGCAGGGACCCCGGGGTGTCTTTGTCTGGGGGCAGGACACGCTGTAGCAGGCGAGACAGGCCTGGCGCCTCCTGGAGACACAGGACCAGGCTTAGAGCTCTTTACTACCGAGGTCGGGTTCAGGGAGAAGCGACAGCCAGAAAAATGAAGACAAGACCACGTTCTGCAACTGAGTGGCACCCGAGACCTGCGGCTGCAGAAATGAGGAAATGAGTCTGAGCACAGAGCACGGCGTCCGTCCTGCCCAGAGCCCAGCTGCACCCCACTTCCTGCCCCATGAGGAGAAAGCTGTGAAGCATCCAAAACCAGGCACAGTTCTTCCTGCTGGAGCACCTCAGCAGCAAGCCGGTTCAGGCCGAATGGCCTTTGGGGGCAGCACGAGATCCAGGACGCCCTACAGGGGCCACTGGCCCCTCGAGAGTCAAGCTGCGAGGACAACCGTGAATGCACGGCAGTGAGTGATCGCACGGAAATGCGGAGTAACGCGCTCAACAACACACGAGCGAAATGAAAAATAAAACAAAAAAGGAAACCACAAAATAACCCAGAAATTGTAGAAATGAATTCTCTCTGAGAAGAAAAATTCAAGGGCTTCAGCAGCTGACCTGACAATGCCGAAAAAGAGCGAGTGACCTTTGACATTAGCCAACTACGGGCAGAAAGAAACACGCGTGAAGAAAGCCTGTGGGGATTATTGCCACGTTGTGGGAATTTCAGGAGAAGAGAAAGAGACAGAAAGTGTATTTGAAACAATGAACGCTTCCGACCCGGGACAGGAGTGGACGTCCGGATCCACGAGGCCCAGGGGACCTCACACAGCTGAACCTGCGGCGCGCTGCGGTGAGCTACGGTGCCGTGGTTACGGCGTCCGAGACAGAGCCTGGAGAGCTGCAAGAGGAAACAGACGAGTTGCATCTAAGGACCCAGCCTTAGCCGGGGTGATTTCTCACCGCAAACTCTAGGGGCCAGGAGAGAATGCGATGACGAACTCCAAGTATTTACAGACAAAGAAAACCCTGTCAACCAGGAGTTCTAGACTGACACAGCTGTCCTTCGGAAATGAGGGGAGATCAGCACTTTCCTTAACGGAAGTGGACAGAGCTCACTGCCACTAGGCCTGCCCTCCGTGACATGCTGAAAGGACTCTTCTAGGCAGAAATAACAAAATGCCAATTAACATCATAAAAGCATGAGAAGGGAATGTAAAGCTCACTGGTGAAGGTAAATTTATAGTTGGTCACTTCTGTAATACAATCATGGTGGTACAGAATTCACTCACAACTTTAAAGGTTAAAATATGGTAAAAATAACCGGAATTATAATATTCTGTTATTGGATACACAATGTAAAAAATCCGTACACTACAGCCTTGACAACCGGAGGAATGCTACTGAAGCTATCAGGAAACCATTTTACAAAATCCTCATGAAAACCACAAGGGAAAACCTGTAGTAATTACACAAAAGAACATTATAAAAAGTCAAAGCATACTGAGACTGAAGGACGTCAGAATACAAATAAAGGAGGGCAGGATAAAAAGCAAGGAACAATGTGTCTACAAAATAGCCAGAGAACAATCAAGAAATGACAACAGTAAGTCCCTATCTACCAACAATTCCATGTAAAAAAATCAGATTCTCCAATCAAAAGACATATAATAGCTGAATAAATAAAAACACAAGATCCAAAGATATGCTGCCTCCAAGAGGCTCACATTAGTCCTAAAGACACACATGGATGGAGATTGAAGGTGTAGAAAAAGATATTTCCGGCAAAAAGTAGGAGTAGATGTCTTTAGATCAGATAAAATCAACCTTAAAAAACGGTAAAAAGAGACAGAGGGGTCACTATATAATAACGAAGGGGCCAGTCCACCCCGCAGAGGTGGCAGTTGTGAACATTCCCGCAGCCAGCGTCCGAGCACCTGTCGTACGAAGCAAAAACGGACACTGCGCAGTACCAGCGGGCAATTCAGTGCCCCACTGTCAGCCAGGGCTCCTCTGCTCGGAGTCAGTGAGAAAACAGGATCTGAACCCTAGAGGACCGCAGACACACACAGCATTCGGACACACTCACGTGGAGCTCTCCTCTGACCGCCAGCGTGGAACACTAGAAATGAATACAAGGACGAAAACAGGAAACTGGGAATGCCTGGGAATTAAAAAACATTCTTCTGAACAAACAACGGATCAGAGAAGATATTTTAAAGGGGAAATAAAAAATCTTGAGACAAAAATGGAAAACAACATACAAAAGCTTGTGACTGTAGAGAAAGCTGTTCTGAGAGGACGTCCGTGCCCACACCAGGGCGAGCTCGGTGAACGCGGCGCCGCGGAGCCCAGGGCGTCGGGAAGGAGCAAACCCAGCCCGGGGTCGGCAGAGTGAAGGAGACAGTGAAGATCAGCGGAGAGGGGCGCGGGGGGCTCCGGCGGCGGAGTGTCC